GGGGCTCGATCCCAGGACCCTGGGATCATGACCTGAGCCGAAGGCAGACGCTTAACGACTGAGCCACCCAGGCGCCCCTCAGGTTTTTTGTTTTTAAACTTTATTATTGGAAAAAAATCTCAAACAGATGAGAAAGTATTCAGAATACTAATGAAATCATCCATCAATCAGCTTTCGTAGTTCTCAACTGCTGGCCAGTCTTGTTTCACCTAATACCCCACACCCATTTTCCCATTCCCATTTTATCCGTGAATATTTCAGTATTATCTTTTAAAGATACATTTTTATAAAATTTATAAAATCATTTTTTTGAAGATTTATTTGAGAGAGAGAGCATGAGAGAGAGAGCTGGGGGGAGGGGCAGAGTGAGAGGGAGAAACTGAAGCAGACTCCCTGATGAGCGCAGAGCCCACATGGGGCTTGATCTCATGACCCTGAGATCAAACCTGAGCCGAAACCAAGAGTCAGATGCTTTAACTGACTGCACCACCCAGGCGCCCCCAAAGTTTAGAAGATCTTTATAAAATACTCCAGTTGACTCAGAAATATTAATTTTAAAAATACTTGAAAAAAAAATACTTGTTTGAAACAGGATCCAAACACTGTGATTGATGTATCTCTCAAGCCTTTTTTAACCTGAGGATTCCCTGGCATCTTTAATTTTTCCTTGCAGTGTATTTGTTGAAGAGACTGGGTCATTGTCTGTACAGTTTCCCCACAGTTCGAATTTAGGTTCATGGCTTTTTTTTTCTTTCTTAAAGACAGCTTCATAGGTGGGTGGTGTATTCTTTCATCAGGATTAGGACACACAAAACGTTTGATTGTCTCTTTTTGTGATGTAAACAGTTACTGATAGATGTTTAGATCCTTTAATGTATTAGGGATCTTTAAATGGTGTTCTTCTGTCATTCTTTATTAGCTGAAATACTTCAGCACAGAGACATTTCTTATCAATTATTGGCTCATATGTGAAAGGCAGATTAAGTGTTTATTATTCATTTCCAGTTTTCAAAAATAATGAATTGATTTACTAGCATCCTCCAGTTCTGACCAATTAGGGTTTTTAGGTTTGTTTTATTCTCATTATAAACTAATGGTTTTAAATACATCTTATACGTTTCCAAATATTTTTAGTTGATATAATTTGCTTTCTAAGGGTCATCTATATTAGGATTGGAAATGAATGCAGATTATTTCTATTTTATTCTAGTTTGCATTTATGCCGGATCCTCAGTGAAAATAAAAGCCATGATAGTTCAACTTACAGAGGTAAGACTTTTAAAAGTATCATAGCTATTATTTTTGGCTTGGTCAAAATTAATAGATGTTCTGTTTTCCATTAAATTGTTATGAATGAAAAGCAAAAGCTATGAGATAGTTCACATTATATAAAGCCTTTATATGAATATATTACCTTTAGGATTAAAACTGTAGTTATAGTAAGACTATATATTTCTATATATAGGTGTTTGATCTGCATAATAGTCATATATTGCTTGGCTTTTATCATTGTGACATGGTATATTTGGCCAAATATCAGCAGTTGCTAGCTGTATTAAAAATTATACAGGCTAGCTATCAGTCATAAACAGAAGAGAAAAGCTAGTACGGAAAAACTATTCAGATTTTGTTTGCACTAGGAAATTTCCAGAAACTGAGGTGGTGTTTTTACTAAAGCTGGTTATGTTTAGGTAGTATCTGGGGATCTTATTAAAGTCAGTTGTCATGGAAAACATTAAAAGCAAAGGAGTTGTTTACTGCGTATCACAAGTATGATTTATTAAGTAAGATGTAATTAAACAGGATGTAAATTTTAATTTTAAAGGCTTTTACTATTTCACATTTATTAATTTAAAATTAGGCATTTGGATTTAGAAAAGGAGGGGCAAAAACAAAAGCAATTATGTCTAGTAAGGTTAAAGCATTTTCATATGTAGCTTTCACTGAAGGTAGAACCCATAACAGTTTTTTCAATCTGGAAAAAAATAATTTATAACCAGTGATCTATTTTAAATAAAAAATGATTAAATAAAAATTCATTATAGTTATTTAAATTATGCCTTTGTGAATAGAAGATTAAAAACAATGTTTTTCTATAGCTTTACTTTTGTTTTATAAGAAATTAAATATTAATATGATTAAGATTTTTAAAGAACATTTGAATTTTTGAGTGGAAAGCATTTTTTAACAAATGAGCCTTTTTTTTTTTTTTTTGGTCATTTGGGTAAGACCCGTTTTAAGACTTGACATTCCTAGCCTGCACCCCCACTTATTTTCCAGTTTATCCTGCTTATAAAGTTGCATGATCTTTCATAAAGATTTCTGAGGTTGTTATAATGCCTTTTCTTTTGAATAAGTCAGTTGACTGCCAGAATTGTAAGAAAGTAAAGACTCCTTCCTGAAAGCACTTGGATACTTAACTTCTTTTCTTCCCTATGTTTAAAACAAGTTTATAACTTCTCAGTTAACTTTGATCTTGTCTGTGATTGAAATCTTATGTGGGTAAAATAAGAGAATTTTCAGGAAACTGTAAATAGTGTAACACAGGATGATTACTCTTCAGTTTTAAATGGGACTGTATGGATCTTTAATAACTACCAGATTATTGTTAATTTGCATGGTTCTGATTCATGTATGAAACCAAAAATAGTTATGAGCGTGGCCTCATTGACAGAATTGCCAATGCGCTCTTTCACCTGCCTTTGCCCGCTTCCTCAATACATACATTCTTTGGTATCTGCCAACAGTCAAGCTTTGGTCTAAGGGCTCCAGTTGGTAGTCCATGCAGAAAGCTAACTGAAATGTCATTTCTTCAGAATTTCCTTCGTTCTGTCTTAGGGGGATTGAGTCTGGGTAGTGTTCCCTGAGCCCTTTCCCTTTCTGCCCCTCCCTTCCCAGTTTCCTCTGCTCACACTACTTCTCCTTTTTATAAGTCCCTTCCCCCCAGTAAAATGATATTGTAATGATGGCTGATAAATAGGCGTAGTCCTGACATAACCAAGAACTAGTGTCTTTAGTGTTCAGATCCCACAAAGAATGTCTAAGAATCTCTAGAAGTCCCTTTTACTTGTGGCCGCCCTTAAAACTACTTTTTCTGAGGGGCGCCTGGCCGGCTTAGTTGGAAGAACATGCAACTCTTGATTTCCAGGTCGTGAGTTTGAGCCCCACATTGGGTGTAGAGAATACTAAAAATAAACAAGGGAAAAACCCTACTTTTTCTGAAATGTTAGCATTAAGATAAAATCTTTTATTTAATTTTGTGTATAATTATAAGGTTTGTTAAGTTTTTCTCCACGTTGTAAATGTAATGCTTTTCAACTTTAGTATAGATTTTACAGGATTTTGTGGGGTTAGCCTTGGTAGTCTTAAAGTACCACTTACTGTTTCTGTGGCTAAAATACAGTAGATGTTCCTAACCACTTAAATGGGCATTTAAAAACATGTGAATTGGCGACTGCCTTTGCTCTTTTGTGGATGACATTGTGATTGTTTTCATGTCACTTAGTGTTAGCAGAATGACCTGGGCTATTTGTTCTCTATTTTAATCTCCTTCTCTGATTAAGATTAGAATTTCCTCAGCTCCTGTGAGCCCATATTCTTCTGGGAATTTAGTTTATGTTGTTCAGCTGTTTTGTCCTTCCAAGAGTGATTGCTTTTTTTTTTCTAACTTAGTTATCTGGATAACTTTAATTTTATTTATTTATTTTAGAGGTAGCACACACTTGAGAGGGGGGAGGGGCAGAGAGAGGGAGAGAAGCAGATTCCCCACTGAGTGTGGAGCCCAATGAGATGCGGGGCTCAATTCCATGAGCCTGAGATCATGACCTGAGCCGAAATCAAGTCGGACGCTTAACCAATTGAGCCACCCAGGCGTTCCTAGTTTTTAATTTTTTTAAAGATTTTATTTTTAAGTAATCTCTACACCTAAGATGGGCTTGGACCCACAGCCCCGAGATCAAGAGTTATATGCTTCACTGAATGAGCCAGCCAGGTGTCCTTGGATAACTTTAAACATGAGTGTTATTTGTTGTAAAAGCATTTTATTAATGGAAATTGAAAGCATGAAATTGACCTCATATTTCTACCATAGTAACAAATAGAAATTTTTTCCTTTGCATTTTAGCTTTTATATAGTTTATTATAAGCATAATGAAGGCATATTTATGAAAAAGGTATAGAATATGTTTAATAATGAATTCTTCATTAGGAATTGGGATACTCTGGCTATATTTCTTTTTTTTTAATTTTTTAATTTTAAAGATTTATTTGAGAGAGTGAGTGAGAGAGAGAGCACAAGTTGGGGGAGGGAGAGAGAGGGAGAAGCAGACTCCCCACTGAGCAGGGAGCCCGACGTGGGGCTCAATCCCAGGGCCCCGGGATCATGACCTGAACTGAAGGCAGACGCTTAACTGACTGAGCCACCCAGGCTCCCTCTGGCTATATTTCTTTAGCAAATAATTTAACGGACAAATTTATTTCATTGTAAAATAATTGTGAATTAATAAAATTGTAAATAAGGTTTAAAGGGATATTGATATGTTTTGATTTCTATGCTGTTCCTTTTTTGTGACAAGTAGTCAAACTAAGGGAGAAGATTTTTAAATATTTGATATTTTACTTGCTATTTTGCCCTGAAACATTTTTGATTCCCTTCAGAAAGATAAATTGACTTTATTTTACAGCTGTTTTTAGAGCTACTTGTTTTTCTACTTTTTTTTATTACTGAAGTATAGGCGACACATAAATTAGTTTCAGGTGTACAACATAGTAATTCAACAACTCTATAACTATACATTATGCTGTGCTCACCACAAGCGTAGGTACCATCTGTCACCATACAATTGTTTTTCTACTTTTAATGAGAGGAAGGAGGTAAAGTTTTCTGTGTATAGGACTAAAGAAAAATATGGCCCAAAGGAGGTAGTCATGTGACCATTAGCCCCCCCCCCCACCCCGTCCCCAAATTCCTTCTGCAGGGAAGGAAGCTATGGTAATAGTGAATGAGACTATCTGTGGTTGACAGTTCTCATAGAACTGCCATTTTATGTATGTATGTATGTCATTATTTTAGTTTGAATTCTGATGGAAATAGAGGCGAAAAGATCTAGATTTGGGGAGACATTTCTCTGAGAGTAGGATATGGATACAACTTGATTTTATATTGACTGGTAGTCTTTACCTGTTGTTAGCGTAGCCCTGAGAGTGAATTGGCTGTGGTCCTATATGTAGACAAAGCTGTGAAATTTGCTGGTGAGAGAAATGGTTAAATTAGTTTATATCCACCTGCTGGAATTCCACGCAGTCACTGAAAATAATTTGGGAGACTTTGGTAGCATAAGAAAATACTTTAAAAAGTGTTTGTGGGGGAATCCAAATACCAAATGATGTGCACTGTGAATGCAAATATGTAAAACATGTAGATACGTAGAAAAAGACTGGAAGGAAATGTTTAAGCAGTAGTTATGTTATAGTAGTGGAGTCAAGGTTAACTATTTTCTACTTTTAGTGTTGTGTTTTTGTGAAAGTAAAAGGGAAAAAATCTGTCAGAGAAAAGCTTTAGAAGTATATTTTTCTTATTTTTGATACTTATAATTCTGAGAAGTAGGAAATATAGAGGTCTTCCCTCAGAAGGGTCTACCTTTTATGTTCAAGAGATTGTGTTCTTACAGTCTTTCTTTTATGTTCAACAGATTTCCAGCAGGCTCTTTATGAGTTATCATACCATGTCATTAAAGGAAATCTAAAGCATGAACAGGCATCTAATGTTCTTAATGACATTAGCGTAAGTATATACACACACACGTTTTTTAATTTAATAATTACATATTTCTTTTTGCCTTTGATACAAAAATCCCTGAAGTATATAACTTGCATTTCATTTTGTTCAGAATTATAGTAGTGGATGTTTTGAGGCAATATTGATAAGCTGTTGTTGCTAGGTTGAAATTTTAATCTTTGGTTGTGAGTAAATCAGAAAATGTTAGGTAAGCTGAGAGGGCAAAGAAAAAAAAAGCCTGTCTTGGAACAAAATCACGATATACTTAATTAAAAATGCTACTATAAAAATAATTTGACTAGAATAATTTTCTCACAGTGAAGCATATCAAAACATTTTCTTTTGTTTGCAGTTATGTTTAGAAATTAAATATATTTTAAAATTTGAGGATTAAGTTATTTTAAATTAAATTGAGTTTGCATAGTTGTAACTAATGCTCACTTGATGCCAGTTTTCATGTGTTTGCTGTGTTAGAAAATATTAATAACTAGATTTTTTCCCTAACCTTTAGGTGATTTTTCTGTCTCACTCTTTTATTAGACAATTTAAGTTAGATTCAGACCAGATACTTTTCATAGGTGTTTGGTATTTGAATTGTAAGATGAGCTCTCGAATTGTAAGGGTGTTGTTTGTAAACCAGTAGTTAAGTTTCTTAAGTAGTTAAGTGGTGTATTATTCTATTATTATTAGGCTGGATTTTAACCTTGTATAAATAAAATTATCTATCCAGTTGAGAACAGCTTTCATAATGAGTATTATCGACGTGTAGGACCTGGAGCTTCTTGATACCAGTATGAATTTCCCTTGTGCTGCTTTAAACTTCTGTAGCCTTTTTCTGTTGGGATAGGTAATGTCCTTCATATGCTTTTTGTGCTTTGCTGAGGATAGTTGTAAGGAATTTCTATGTTTAGCTGTTGTGATTTTTTTCCCCTACATATTGAAATGTATTTGAGCAGTCAAGGTTCAATATGAGTTTCTCTTTTATCCTTAAACTGTCTCTATCTGACCACAGCAGTATTAATTCATGTTGCAGTAGTCTTTTTTTTTCAATAACTAATATTCCATGTTGAAAACTCTCGTCTTGCTCTTTTCTTCAAGTAGCCTGAGTACTTGCATTCAAGTAGACATAGCAAAAATTCATAGCCCTTAAGAAACTTTTGAGACTGAAGTCTGGTGTGCAATTAAGGTTCTTTCATTCTGTAAATTGGCCATTGGTATAGTCTGTTTATGGATTCGATTCTAATATTTTTCCCAGTTTTTGAAAATGAATAGTCCAAATGGATTTAGTATGTATTTTTTACTTAGCTTCCCCTTTCCTTTGAGTCTTTATATATACCTTTGCACCTGGATTGTCTTTGTCATGGCTTTCTCATAGTCCCATATCTCACTGTCCCATATCTTAGCCATGGAAGCATATCTTGCACGTTTCTTACAGTGTCAGTTGTTTTTTTTTTGTTGTTAGGATTATATTTCTTTCCTTTACTCTCTGAAAATAGGCTAGTTTAAGGGTTGCTATAGTGCTAGCAAACTAATTGCAATGATTGAACTATGATCCTTACTAATGGAAAATGTCTCTAAAATTGGGCATGGGAGTGGGAAGTCAGGAGACAAATCTAGAATACGTGTTGAAGTTTTCATCCAGAAATGAGGGGAGAATTTTGGCTTAGTTTCTCTAAAGGCTACAAACATCAGTGCATAAAGAAAATAAAGATGGATTTTTGGTAATGGTTTTCATCTTCAGAGAATCTTGAGTTATGGAATGACAGCTTGTAATTGTTTTTGTATTTTTTAGATTTCTGTTCTGATACCACTAGGACTTTTGCATAAATCAGTGTTGATTGAGGCATGAGCACATTTAAAGTTGTAGATGAAAAATGTTCTATTTTTAACAGTAGGTTTAAGGTACCCAAATTCCAGTGGTTTCTAACATGTAACTACTTCATTGGAAAAGTGTCATTCATTTGTGCTCTTTAATATTTCCTGAGGTGCTTGTTAGGTTTTTTTTTTTAAAGATTTATTTGACAGAGAGACAGCGAGAGAAGGAACACAGAAGGAAC